TATGCTTCTGCAGCCATTCATCATTCCCTGGTTTGTGGACGACAGATGCCTTTAAGGTACTGCCCAGTGCTATTTTCACTATAAAAACATAAAAATAAATATATGCTTTGAGGTGTGCTACTTTCTTCAGTGAGGATGATTTGCATTAAACAAATATCAATTATGTATTTATCCAAATGGACAAAATAAGAGACTCCTACCTAAACACTCTGAGTGCATTCGGCACTTAAGGGGAGATCCTTAACTGACACAAAATGTTGCAGATCCTTGTAGTGCAGTGGAGCTATAACAGCTTGTACCAATTCAGGATCTGTTTTCAAGAGTTTTCAGACAGTCATCTCTTTTGGGGTTCAGTTTTCTAGTACCTATACAACAAAATCTCAAATGCAGTCTTATTTATGGCAGCTTATTGCAAGATAATGTTTTGCGTGAAGGCGGGGGCTTTGATTATCAGGGGTTTCATTAAGGCATCTTTGTCATGGTCAGTCCACTGCCTTGTAAAGGTGTAGATCCCTGTTCAGATGGTAGACAAGCAAGGCTGATCTCCCCCAGAGATTAGTGGAGCCAGTGCAGTTCTCGAACTCCCTGGGGCATATTCTCACTCGCCTTGACAGCTACTCTGTTGATGGCCTGGACAATTTGTAAAATAGCACACTAACCCTGATCATAGACACACGTTACAAAACTGCCTGCATTTGGCATAGTTTGGGGAACCATCATTTTGCTGCAAAGTCAAAAATTGGGATTGCAGGTGCTTGGTCTTGTCCAGTTTATAAGGATTTGTTTCAATTGCTATTACCCACTGACACAGAGGACGTCCTCAGGGGGATGTGGGCAACCAGCTTGAACTGTACCTGTGCCTGTCCTGCCTTGTGAAAGATAGCCTGGGGAGACTGGAGCCATTGCTAGTGGGGGTTGTCAGTGTCTCCCTTCAAGAGGACAGGATGTCAGACATTCTTAAATTTGTGATTGTCTGGCCTCTACTCAAGAAACCGTCACTTGATATTGACTCCATGTCAGCTGTTGTCCTCCTGTTCCCAACCTCCCCTTCTTGGGGAAGGTCATTGACCAGGTGGTTGCTTAACAGCTCCAGGGACATATGGATGCAACTGGATTCCTGGGCCCTTGTCAGTCTGTCTTTTGTCCTGGGTGTAGCACAAAGACTCATGGCTTTTGTCAGTGATCTACACTTGGGGATCAACAGGGAAAACTATGCCCTGTTGATCTTGCTAGATCTTTCAGCAGCTTTCGACAGACTTGCCCATGAGGTGCTTATATAGCGTTTACAAGACATGGTGATTATTTGGTTCTGCTCTTTCCTAGCAGGGAGGTCCCAGAGAGTGGCAATTGGTGAGTGCTCATTTTCCTCTTGGTACCTTTCCTGTGAGGTCCCCCAGGGCTCCATTTTGTCACCTCTTCTGTTCAATGTGTATATGAGGCTACTGGGCAACATCATGCACAGTTTTGGAGTGAAGGGATATCAGTATACTGGTGACACCAAGCTCTGCCTTTCCTTTTCATTCAACCTGGGCTTTGCTGTCTCTGACCTTTCCCATAACTGTTGGCAGTTGAGGAGTGAATGCAAGTGAACTAACTGAAGCTGAAACTAGACGAAGCAGAGGGGATGGTGGGCAGATCACTTGACCTGAGTGATCTGATGATAGGACCACTGATCATGGTGGTGTCCAGACTCCCCTTGTCACTCGGGGTTTCAACATTTGGTTGAAAGTGCCTCTTGCCTACTCCATCTGGTGCATCCCTTTCTTTTAGACTCAGTACAGGTCACCATCATCCATGCTTTCCAAACCACAAGGTTGACTACTACAATGCACTTTGTGTGGCTGCCCTCGGTGATCATCTGGAAACTGCAGTTGGTGTGAAGCAGCCAAATTTCTGACAGGGGTGGTCCACCAGGAACACATAACTCCAGTGCTCTAGAGTCTGCACTGGCTCCTAATAGCTTTCCTGGCACAATACACAGTGCCAGTTTTGACCTGTATGACCCTAAACACTTTGGACCTTGTATACTTAAGGTACTATCTTCCCGCTTATGATCCATCACAATCCATCGTAGATCAGCCAAGAGCAACCTACGAATAATACCATCAGTGCCCCAAGTTCACGAGATGAAAGCAGATGGGAAGCTGTTCTTGGTAATTGCTTCTCAGCTTTGAAACTCCTTCCTGCTTGAGGCCTGCTAGAGCCCGAGCCTGGACATCTAGAAATGTTGTAAAATCCTGCTTTTTGGACAGGTATTTATCAAACCAGGCTGGATGGGATACTGTTTAAGGAGCTTTCATTTAAGATGCTATTCCATTTACTTTTATATGCTGTTTCTGTCTCTTTCTATAAGATGCCATGAGCAGCAAACAAACTGATGCTTCTGTGTAGTAGACCTCAGATCTATATGACAGTATATAATAGCAAACTTGTACTCTTCAAAGTATACAATAGCTTCAAAAGAATGAAGTCAGTGAGACATTAACAGGCAACATAACATTTTCCTTATTGTGTCAAATAGTGAAAACATTCCAAAGAAAATCTCTTTGGATCTAAAATATGCTTAGGGGAATTAAGTTATTGTTGTTGTTATTATCATCATTTGGACAACTGTGACTGGCCTGTGTTGCAATCCAAGCTAGTTTGCACTTTTCTTGTGTATGATCTTTATACTTCTTAGAGGCTATTGATAAACTATTTAAAAATCCCTTTGATGTTCTTATGAAGGAAATATTTAAAGTTTCACAACAGAATTTGGGATGTTATCACCAGAGTATTTTTCTAATGATTACTTTATACTCTAGAACAATATTAGAGTTTTTAGCGAATTTTGTCTGATTGTTTAATAGTTATTGTACAGTTCTCTTAAGATTGCTGATAGTGTAATATTGATTTGGGAACATGATTGGCCATTATTTAGAAGGTAAAAATTACCTCCAGTTTTGTTTTTTTGTGTGGCTACTGTTTGAAAAATGTTAAATTATTTTAGAAATCCCTTTGCAAAACTATTGTAAGATTTAAAAATGGGGACAGATCTTCAGTGGGGTTAATTTGTTCTAACTCTATAGATTTTAATATCACTTGGGAATCCTTGGTTTTAATTAAATTGTTGCTGTTCATGACCAGTAGAGAAAAGATAGGGTTCTGTATATATTGACTGTTGGACCAGACCCTGGCTATGAAACATGCTTCTTTTTCTCTGATTGGAATTCATGCCTATGTAGTGACCCAACCAGCAAAATGGTTGCATCTTACTTAATACTATAAATTATAGCCTGAGGGTATGTCCATACTGGGTGCCTCTACACATACATTTGTTTTGAGGTCAGTTTACTTGTGAGCAAACTACTCACAAGTAAACACTCCTGAGCAGGCGTCTACATGTGCAGAGACATGGGAGAAGATTTGCTGCTCCTGGCAGCAAACTGCTCCCACTTCCTGCGGCCTTGCAATGGGCTTGTACTGCCATCAAGGAGAGCTCAGGTCTCCCTTTGGGTGCTAGCAGTGCGACAGGAAACAAATGTGTCCTGGCCAGAGCTGGCACAATGCTTCCTGCCCCCAGGGGACTGCTTGCTGCCGGGGTGGGGACAATGTCTCCCTGCCCCTGCAGCAAGGAGCTCCCAACCTCAGCTCCCTGATCAGGGCAGGGGACTTGGAAAGAGCTGCAGGGGAGGAGCAAGTCCCAATCCCCTGCCCTGATCCGTCAGTGGGGCAGCTAGCAACAAGCCTCTGGATGGGTAGGGATTCCCACTGGTGGATAGGACAGCCACAGCTCTTTCCAAGCCCTGTGTCTCAATCACCTGATCAGGGTGTAGGGCTGGGACCCATCCCTGACCAGTTCTCAGCCCCTGCTCCTTGATTTATTGTGGGGTAGGGGCTGGAGAGCCTGTTCCCCACACAGCTGTGCAAGTGTGAAGCTGGGTGGGGAACATGCTGGAGAGCTTGTTCCCTGCTCAGCTCCATAAGCACAGATCTGGATTGGGGAACGAGCTCGGGACCTGGATCTCCTACCCCAAACCCTGCGGCTGTGGAGCTGGCGCTGGGAGATAAGGATCTCCCAGCACTGTGCTCCCTGATCGCAATCTCAGAGTGGGGGGCTTGGAGCTCCCTACTGCTGGGGCAGGGGGAAATAATCCCTGCCCGGGCTCCAGTGACAGAGCCCACCCTGGCAGCAGCCAGCTCCTGGGGGCTGGAAGCAATCTTCCACTCCCTGTTGGCTGGCTGACCCAGAGCAGATTTGTTCCCAGTCATTCGTCTACATGAGCTGTACTGTGCAGTAACTATTCATGAGTAAATTTGCTCATGATTAGTGAGGTTTACTGTGCAGTAAGTGTGTGCATGTGTAGACGCACATGCTTAGTGTGCAGCAGACAATGCTACTTCACAGTAGAGCATTTCGTATAGATGCACCCACTGTTTCCAAGGTGGTGCCAAGACCATTGTCAAGAACAAGTGCCTCCTTCTCATGGCTTGCTGAAACATATGATTATGTAGACACTTTTTTGGTGAATGTCTAGAAAGGCTGTCAGGAACTTAAGTCTCAGGAGTGCTCCTGAGGTAGTGCTGGATGCACCTGACAGCTGTGTTGGTGACCACAGAGCATTTTTTACACATGCAGAGTGGGAGCAAATGGCAAGGCTTATTTCTTGGCAGTGGTCTTGGAGTCACTGCAGAGGTAGTTTATACATATCTTTAGGGGAAATTAAGTAGGACATAGGACACTCATACAGGCCACCCTAAAGTACATACGGATGTTTGTATCTATGTGTACACTCCGCAGGTAACAGTGTATGCATTCTTGTACAGTGAGCTGTCCTGTGGCATTATCTGATAGATATTTTCAGAGACTGTTTTTTATTATTAATTTAGAGACATTAAGTTAGCATGGCATTAAGTTAAGCTAATGCCAGGTGTGTCTATTTTAGATTATATAAAACAGTGGCATTCTGCACTTGCTGTCCTTCATACTGGATTCACAAATTCAATTTTTACTACCCCAGGCGGAGGGTTCCAGACTTCAGAGAGAACTACGAGGATATTTAGCTGCTATCAAAGGTAAGAGTTCAAAGCCTTATTTTGTTAGCATTTGTTTTTTAAAAACCTGTTAAGACAAATAGGCTATTATTAATTACACTATGACAAATTGGAATGCAGTCTTTTGGCTTTCCTCATGAACAAGGATCACCGTTGTTCTCCCCATATATCATTTCTGATTTGAAAGCCAGCATTGGCACTGTGGTCTAATCACAGATTTTCAGAATGTGACCCCTCTTCTTGTACAATGCAGCCTTGCATGCACAAGTTTTTATACATTATTCTTTGTGTAGACAGTTGATTTGTTTCACCTAGACAAACTCCCATCTGTGCAGATAGATCAGTCACAAATGAGATTTGCCTGGGTAGCTTCCATTATTCATTTTCAGAGAGGGGCCACCAGTGAACATGCTGACATCTGTTACCACTCCAGTTATTCTCTGCAGCCACAGTGCCTCCAGATATTGTTGCGTTGGCAGTGGGAGCCATTCTTCCCAGGTTTTTAGCCTTTGCCTCACACCTTTCCAATAATCAGGTTAACTGTACTTCCTTCTGCAGAAGCAGGAAAAAAAAACTTTCTTTTTTCATATTAAACCAAGGATTGGAGTTATTTTCTGTACTCTTTGTGGAAGCTCAGTGCACATTGGCCAGACATCCAGAAGGAAGCAAATTGCTATTTAAATCCTAGTGGATATACAGCTACATCCAAACTATTGAACACAAAAGTTCTTTTATTTTGCTGTTTGCCTCTTTAGACAAATTTTAGAAGGTGTTTGAGCCCAGGTAATAGCGGAGGGAGCAGTAAAGAGACAAGGGAAAGGCTGCTAAAGAGATGGTAATAGCTTTGTAATTCTTCACCTGGCTTCTTTTTCAGGTAGCTCTAACATAAACCAGCTGACAGTCTTCTGGCTGCAGTTATTGCAGGTCATAATAAAATTTCAAAGGCTTTCAGTAAGCTCAAGAATTCTTGCTGATGAGAATTATAAAACCATGATCAAAACTGTGGCTGAAGTTGTTATTAACCATTTACAACTTGTATAGTCTTGCAAGGAACTGTACAAAGAAAGTCAGACAGCAGCCAGGGCATCCCTTGGATTATGGATTAGGACATGTTATTTTATGTTTATAATGGATTACAGCTTCACTTATTATTTTGATATCTGGTTGGGACCAGCTTTGCATCCTCACTATTAAGACCCCTAGTACCACCAACTGGGTGCTCAGTGAGAGTTAATATGCTGTAGTTGCTAGTTGGCCAGATGGTCTTTTCTTCAATAAGGGTGACTTTTTTCATGCTGCTCTGAGTTCTTGGATGGTGAGGACAATCCGCCTTTTCCTTTTTAATATTTTGTATGTTAAACTTGGTTCTGTACATCGAGTTTACTTTTAACTTTATGTAAAAGCCCTTGATCATTTAGTTGAACCCCGTGCCAGATTCAGGATCAAATGCCCCTATCCAAATCATTCTATATCAATCCATTGTCTAACCTAGTAGTGAAATTACACCGTCAACCTGAGACAACCACAAGGCATAACATCCTAATCTGCCACTGGTAAAGTAGGGGGATGACAACAGCCAATGTCCTACTGCTGTAACAATTGTAAAGATATGCGGAAGAGATTCCAGGAAGAGGGCCCCACCTCCTGCTATGGGGGACTCCAAAACCCTCACTGTCCATATCAATCTGACCATGAGATAAAATTTCTTCCTGACCCCAAATGTGATTTACCTCACCTTGAGCAGGGGTGCAAAACCCTCTAGCCAGGAACCTCTGAGTTTAGGTCCCAACAGGAGCATTTGCACACCTTAGTCAAAATCCCCAGCCTTGGCTGTAGCCAACACCCAGTGCCTCTGAGAAAGGATTAAAAAAAATCTTGACACATGTAGCACTGGGAGAGTGAAAGGTGTGGGGGGGATTCCCTCCCAGCCCCATGCAGCAATAACAAAGCCGGTCAGTTTGAATGTCTTGTAAGGTAGCTTGTCATCTACATGTGAAAATCTTTTGAACTCATCATGTGCCGAATAAAATATGAGCAACCATGTCACAAAAGGAACGTGATCATAACAAGAGTCAAGAGGTGTCATTGTTGGCAAATGTATTTAGGAAATATCACTGAAGAAAAAGGGATGGGGGGCCTGATTCAAAGCACAGCACATACCATTACATGCAAAACAAAATATACTTTGCACTCCAAGAAAACCAGAGCAGAAGAGTACCAGGTGAAGATGCCATGCAGAGGACAGTGTTCTCGTATCTGTAAAGTGAAATATTTTGGTAAATATGTTGAAATTATGCAAATATTATACATATTATTTAACAAAAACAATCACACCCTATTGCTTCCCTTTAAACTGGATTGTGTCCTGATTCTCTATGGCCATGCAAGAAAATCAAGGGTAGTCATTCTGTCTTCCCTTGTATGGTCATGTAGGTCTTCAGTGGATCTTGGTTTGCATGGGCATGGGGAAAAAAAGATCTGCTTAAATCAGCTGAGCATGAGGTGAATTTAGATCCATGAATACTCTTTGCTTATTCCTCCCCTGTCCCTCACCTCCATACCACAGGAAGCAGAGCTGATGCATATGAGGAGAGAATTTACATTGTCTTGTAAAAAGGCTGTAGAAAATGCCTATTTTTTTAAACCCCTATTTCAACAAGTAAGTACTAGTAAGTGCATTGTGTGAAACTCACTTTTTTGCAGTGGACCCGCACAAGTTCTTGTGCCCTAGATACATTCTTTCTAAAATCTATTAAAAGTGACTAAAGTGAGATTTGAAGTGCCATGTAGGGTTGCTGGCCTCAGGGTTGAACTTTACCCCATATAAGTATCTAGGATAGTTATATATCAAGTATGAAGATAACTGTTAATAGATTGTTGGCTCTTATAGGTAGGGTCTGTTTGCATTTTGTGTTTTGTATAGTGCTGAGCCCGTTGTTAGGATTTAAAAAATAACAACAGCAGTACTAATACACTATATTCTGTCTTCTAAGATATGGTCTTACACAGAGAAAACGTCCTTAATGTTAATGTGTTGCAGAGTCCAAGGAATAATTAATACACTTAGTCACTTCCTAGCAGGAATTATTTTCTCCCCTCTACCCCACATCTCCCTGCTGACTGTATTTGTATATTGTCTAGCACAGCAGGACTTGGTTCATAACTAGAACTCTTAGGTGCAACAGAATTAAAAATAATAAATAATTAGTCATGTAGTCAGGTGATTGGATTGTCACAATGTAAGAAGCACCATCACTAGTGTTGATGAGGAGTAGAATTTTGATATTCAGAACCCAAAATGCAGAAAAAGGCACTAAGATTCTTTTGCATAATTGTGGATACCTTTGGATGAGATGATTCATATCCTCATTAGACTTTATACATTCTGTCCATTTTCAAAGACACAAAACAAGCAGTGAAGTATCAGGATTCTCAGGAAGTGGCCAAACTTGAATAGATAGTTAGCTCTAATTAAAATCATTTTCTCCCTTGTTTGGCAGGCAGCTGACATGGCATGAACTCTAGTAATGGATTTAATTAGGATAACAGGAATTCTAGAAGTTTGAGGTGGACAAGCCCTAGCAGAGCATAGTCAAATGTACCATTTTTGCCACTTTTTAATACATTCATTTTAATATACAAGGAAGGTAAGTTTGTATTTAATATAGTACATTTATCTAAGAGATGAGTGAGCCTTCTTAAGTCTCTTCCTTCTTGACTGTCTAGATGCACTTCTCCAGTAACTATTGGTGAGATTGAAGTGATGATGTTAAATAGATGTAGAATATTTCTAGATATCTGTTTAAACAATATTAATACTAATAGTGTATGTGTGGAAAGGGGGGTAAAGCAATCAATAAAATTACCATAACACTCTCCCCTAGTTCTGTAATCTGATGACTGGGTCTTTTCTTCAGAAGCTAGAGAGTGACTGCTGAATTTTTTCTTATGCCACTAATCATTAAAGAACTCAGTCTCCCGCATTATATTCTTGGTTATGTGAGCATGAAGAAGTTTGCTTACGCTCATGTGTGGGTGCCGGTGAAAAAAGGATACGAGGCCAAATGAGGACTGACCAGCACTGAGTTGAGTTGGTACTATCATCAAGATCTTTTTGAATTCCAAATCTTGTCAACCTTCCTCATTTTGGGTCATCTGCAAATGTCAGCCTGCATTTAAGTCTTTGATAAAAATATTAAAAAGAAAGTAGACCTAGAACAGACCTCTTTGGACATGGGCAGCTCTAGGATTTAGAAAAAGGTGGGGCAGACAGCGCAGTGCTTCATCACATATAACACGACACTATATTTCTCTTCAGTTAAAACTAAAGTAGAAACTTTACTGATATTCCAGAGGCCTAGAGCTGTACTACTGAGTTCAAAATCAAAGCAAAAACAAATGTAACTTTTTTGGAATGCTCATTGCTATATCATATATTATGTATAAATCATAACAAACTAGGCAAAAAGAAATCAAAATATGTAGACCTGTAGTCATTCAAATTAAATCTACCTCTCTTTCAGATTCATAAAGCAAAATCTAGTCATCTTGAACATCTTGTCAATGCATGCAGTGCTTCACTGAACATTATTTCTACACCTGAGTTAATATGTCTAACTAAAGTTAAAAGTCTGCAGGAATGATATAGGAGCTACATTACCAGGAGCAGCTGAAAGCATAATTGCAGAACAAAGGATACTTAATTAGTGGAACCATTAAAGACCATTAGAAAGAAGAGAGGACTATTAACACCTGTAGAATGTAAAGTGTAGACCAGAGGTGAACAAAATATGGCCTGCCGGCTGGATCTGACCTGCCAGGTGATTTCATCCACAGGTGCCTATCAATTCACTGTTATCAGGCCTGGCCCCAGGCTGCCCCTCCTGTGCTTGCATGGGGCTGAGTCCTGTTTATTCCTGTAGGGTAATGCATGCTGCGCTCCTATCCCTGCCTGCGGGATGGCCCTGACCCTGGCCCCACAGGTGGGGCTGTGGGAAGTGGCAGAGGCAAGGAGAGTGGTG